CCCCAGACGTGGCAGGATGCTGAGGCAGCTCCCAGGATGTTTTTTCCATGCCAGAGCCATCCCTGTTGTTTTCCTGACCCTCTGAAGTGTGCAGGCCCAGAGGTTTCACCCTCTGCTTCCCCCAATGCTCGGTGCACCAGCACTGGGCTCCCCCTCAGCCCTTGTCTCCCAGAGGAGACTCTCCAGGCCCCATGGCTGGAGGTTTTAGGGCCCTGCACTGCTGGATCTGAGACTGATGTGACCACCCTGCTGTGACATGTGTCCTGGGACTCAAGCCAAACCACACCTCAGTGTTTTTTACATGCTACGGACAGAGGTCTAAGCTCACATTCCTGCCCATGGCTGAGGGACAGAAGGTGCTGTAGCCACCCCTTGCTCATCTCCATCCCTTTCCTCAGCTGCCTTTGGTGTGCACAGCCCAGTGAGCACACAGCTGAACACCATCAAAGGAGAAAAACCCCAGGTGAAGGGCAAGGAGTGGGGCCAGGTGGTGGAGGGAAAGCCTATGGGAGACTCCTCGGAGAATCAGACTTTGGGAGTGTGTGAAACACAGTGCCTTGGGGAAAAGGTGGGTTTGTGACCCAGAAATAGCTCTCTTGCACTTTAGAGTAACTCTCAGTGGCCTTATGTCTGAGTTCTGTCTGTTTGGGGGCAGGATCCACACCCCTCTGCAGTGGGGTCGAGACCTTGGTGCATCCCTGTGGGGGAAGCAGGATGGGTTCCTAGCCAGCTTTCAGCTCTGCCAAAGCAATTTGTGAAGTCCCTGGTAAATGTCTCTTATTTATGTAGCCAATAAATGTTGGATAACTCTGGCACCTGCTGCTCATCCCCGTTAATGCTGCTGGCTGCAGGTGACACCCCTGGAAACACCCAGGCACCAGAGCTGAGAGGACAAGGATCTGTTTGCAGGTCTTCACCTGCTCCCCCAAAAAAGTGACACAAGACATTTGTGACTGCAGCAGAAACCCATTTGCCATCACCAGACTGAAGGTTGGGCTGCACTGCATTCATATTCACCTTTAATTTCCCTCTACTATTGGGTGTCATCACCAGACTGGAGTTTGGGCTGCACTGGATTCATATTCACCTTTATTTTGACGCTGCTTTTGTACATATCTTGATCCTGTGGCCAGCAAACTTCACCCATGTGGGTTTTGGGTTAGAAGCCAGGTTGGTTTTACTTTTGGGAGCCTGACCAACAGTGCTGGGAGTAAGGGGCAGGCATTGTGCCTTGGTGGCATCTTGTCACATCCCTTTTTGACACATCTGTCACTGCTGGACTTTTCATAGATGTTTTTGGCATCTCCGTTATTTCAGATTTACTTTTTCCATCAGACCAGCTCTGCCACCGTGTGCTTCCTGCAGGGTTGGCTTCCTCCCCTGCCCTCTCTGGGGGTGTCCTTGCTCAGGTGGCACCTCCCTGAGCTGCTGTCACCACGGGCTCTGTCCCTGGGGTGGCTCAGCTCAGCTCTGTGGCTGCCTGGGAGGACAGAGTCAGCTCCCAGTGTCCAAGTGGGTGACTCACATGGCAGAGCCCAGTGACTCTGCACTGCCCTCCTGACTGGGACACTTCAGGAGAGAAAATAGCCCATCCACTAAGAGGCTATATTTACCCAGCAGCTGCAGCTGCTGAAGCTGCCAGAAGGAGCTAATCTTAGACACCAACCCAGCCAGTGATCTGTTAGAGACAGTTCATGGGAGAATTTGGGCTTTGCCCTCCTTTTCCAGGAGTTTTCCCTTCAGCTTTTGCTGATCTGACAAGCCCAGGAGGTCTGAGCCCCCTGGTGCTGTCTCAACCAGCTCAGCCTTGCACAGGACACCCCCACCCTCACTGAATGCCTCTGTAGGATGGGATTTATCCACTCATTTGCTCTGATTATTGCCTGCCCCTTCATAAAACTCCACCAAGAAGCCAAGAAAAGCAATTTTTTATTGTAATTACAAATCCCACTTAACAGCCTTACACTGGACACTTCCTTGTTCAGCCTGACATGGCTGAAATTCCTTCCTCCATCCTTTTTGTTGTAACATTTTGTATGGGTGGGAGTGATCCTGTAGCACTGCATCCCTTTAAGATGTATCTGTGCATCCTCACTGTTGTGGTTTAATCCCACACAGTTTCTCTCTCACTCACTCAGTCCCCCTCACCCCATAAGGAGGAGAATCAGAAAGAAAAGGTGAACAGGTAAATCTGTGGAGATAAGAACAGTTTAACATTTGAAACAAAACACAATGATGATAATAATAATGACAAGGAGAGGAAAAAGAGCAACAGAGCCCGAGAGGAACAAGTGCTGCACAACAATTGCTCATCACCCACTGGCTGATGCCCAGCCTGTCCCCAGACAGCAAATTGGCTCCCTTCTGGGTAATTTCCACAGTTTATATCCTGGAAATGATGTTCTGTGGTGTGGAACATCCCTCTGGCCAGCTCAGGTCAGCTCTCCTGGCCACGCTGCTTCCCAGCTTTTGGTGCAGCTCCTCCCTGGCAGAGTGTGAGAGATGGAAAATCCTGACTCAGGGTGAGGATGACAGCAGGAGCCAAAATATCAGTGAGTTATCAGCATTATCCTCATCCTAAATCAGGAAAAACACAGCACTGCAGGAGGAAAATCAACTCTCCCAGATGAAACCAGGACCTCCACCGCCTCCCATGTCCTGGGGGACTGTTGCCCACTTGGGGACACATTTAATGACTCTGGGAATCCACTGGTCATTGGAAATCCCTGGCTGTGGCCCTGTCAGACCTGGGGCACAGTGCACCCAGGCTCTTGGAAAGCCAGGGCTGCTTCCCCAAGCCTTGGAGCTGCTCCAGGCAAAGCCGCTGCAGCCCTTGGGAGTCCCCAGGGCAGGTTTGGGAGCAGCACAGGGCCCTTTCCCTGGGTGAGCCACCAGCCTGGGAGATGCCAGAGACCCAGCAGGTCCCAGAGCTCCTCTGGGAAGGGCTGCAGCTGAATTTTGGCAGAGGCACCCCTTGGGGTGGGGGATAAGGAAGCAAAACTCAGCTGGCAGCAGCACGAAAAGGAAAACAAGGCAGGGCTCAAGGGAGATTAAAGGCAGAGGGAGGGGGGGGAAATCCCAGCTGGTGGCACAACAACACAGGATTAAACCTGGGATGGCACAGAGCTGATGCAGAGGGGGCAGAGAGGGGAGGGAGGGGGTGTCCAGCCCCAGATGTCAGGGAGCAAAAATTCCTGAAGTTCGACCCAGTTCAAAGATCAGCACTTGGAGCTTGGGCCTGGCACTGATGAGCAGCACAGGAGAGCTCATGATGTGAGCTCTGAAAACTGCTTGAGATTATTTCCCTGCTCTGTTGGTACCTCCCAGCTGCTGCTGGAACCACACCAGTACAGAAGGGCTTCATACTGGTGCAGCTCCCTCCCTCTTGTAGAGATGACCATCATGGCAATTTTTATAAACACATCCCTACCAGGGTAAGGGGTTGTGTGGCTTTAAACACACCAAGAATAATGGCTAATATTTTTTCATAGACTTAATTAAATCGTTAATTAAATCTGTGCCATCACTGAGTGTCAGACAGCCCAGAGGGTCCACAGCAAGAGATAAAACAGATTCATGTGCAAGTTTTACTATGGGTATAAATAATTAGAGCTACTCTGCTCGCCCATGTCTGTCAAAACTAATTTGCTTCTTTGTGAGCTCTGTGGGAATAGCTGGACCTGGACTGGCCATTTCAGGGCCCAGGGGACTTCCTAGACATCCATGGGTAGGCAAGCAGGACACAAAAGCTGCTGGAGAGCTCAGCCACCCTGGAGCATCAGCTCCAGGCCAGGTTGTCCTGCTGTGCCTCTAGACTTCATCCAGAGGGGAACGATCAACCAGAAGGCCTGAGCAGGAGACCCTCAGTTTACTATAAGGTATTTGTGTTTAGATGTCTTAATCTGTGAGTTTGAGCCCACCCTTGCATTTCCTTTATTTCTATCCAGCCTCAGACACTCTCTCAGTCACCAGGATCTGGAAAGGATGGATTCATTGGTGCCAAGGTGCCCACAGACTGTGCCACTGGGGCCCATTTGCATGTGGGACAGAGTCACAGAATCAGTGAGGCTGGAAAAGAGCTCTGGGGTTGACTCCAACCTGTGGTTGAACCAGACCATGGCCCTGAGTGCTGTGTCCAGTCTTTCCTTAATGCCTCCAGGGATGGAGACTCCACCACCTACTGCAGGGAAAAAGAGCCATTCCTCTCCCACCGTCCTCAAATCTCCTGCTTTAGTGAGGATTTTAAAGGAACTTTCAGCACAGATCTCGTATCCCACACAGGGCTGTAAATAAACACCACTATCTCCATTTCCAGACCCCTGAAAAGTGACTCCAGAGGAGAATAAAGGACAAACCCGTGCAGCAAAGCAGCCCTGGGTGGGAGCTGGCTGGAGCTGGGGATGCCACAAAGCCCACACAAGACCTTCCCTTAGCACATCCTTCCAGCTTGGACTTCATGGCCTATTTTTAGCACAGCTAAAGGTCCAGCACTTTCAGAGCATCATCAGGAGGAAGCCCCAGCCTTGCCACCCATGACCCAAACAGCAAATCGGGCTGTTAGATTCACCCAGAGTCCTCTTCCCAAGCCCATGGGTGTCCCCTGTGGTGTCACAGCAGCCAAACCTGCTGCTCTCCCTGCGGTGACTCACGAGCTGACAGGCCCTTCCTGAATTCCTGGGGCTGGAATTACAGCTGTTCCCCCGGCCCCCCTCCCTTCCTCCTTGTCCAATGTGTCATATTAAAGGGTGATCGGCTTACACATGCTGCACTATGGATTCCTTAAGCCCTGCAGTGCTGTGTCTATATATAAAGCCCCGAGCTGGAAGCTGAAGTGCACAGACAGCTGGGAGCATAGCAAGGTTTCACATTCCCCGTGTGCCAGCGGTCTGGAAGCCCGTGAGGCTGTGAGCTCTGCTTTCTTTACTCAGGTTTAGGTACAGCCACCAATATTTATCCATAAAAGAAGGACTGGGGCGAAGAACGAGTGGTTATTCGCCACCATGGGTTTGCCTCTTGATCAAGTGGAAGAATTGCGTCTCTACCAGCAAACTCTTCTCCAGGACGGACTCAAAGACATGTTGGACCACAACAAGTTTCTGGACTGTGTGTTAAAAGTGAAAGGGAAGGAGTTTCCCTGCCACCGGCTGGTGCTGGCAGCCTGCAGCCCCTATTTCCGGGCCATGTTTCTCTCAGACATGGAAGAGAGCAAGAAGAGGGAGGTCAGCTTGGAAGATGTCGACCCAGACGTCATGGGCAAGATCCTGCACTACATCTACACCTCCGAGCTGGAGATCACCGAGCAGAACGTGCAGGACATCTTCTCCGTGGCCAACATGTTCCAGATCCCCTCCATCTTCACCGTGTGCGTGTCCTTCCTGCAGAAGAGGCTCTGCCTCAGCAACTGCCTGGCCATCTTCCGGCTGGGATTGATGCTGGACTGCGCCCGCCTGGCCGTGGCCGCCCGGGATTTCATCTGCGACCGCTTCGCGCTGGTCTCCCGGGACGAGGAGTTCTACCAGCTCTCCCCCGACGAGCTGATCGCCATCATCTCCAGCGACTCCCTCAACGTGGAGAAGGAGGAGAGCGTCTTCGAGGTGGTGATGAAGTGGGCGGGGGCCAAGGAGCGCGAGAGCCGGCAGAAGGCCCTGCCTGTCATCTTCGAGAGCGTCCGCTTCCGCCTCATGCCCGGCGACTTCATCAGGGAGCACGTGGAGAAGCACGCCCTGGTCAAGTCCAGCCCCGAGCTGCTCAAGAAGCTGCAGATGGTGAAGGACGCCCAGAAAGGCAAGTTCACCGTGGTGAAGAAGAAGAAAGTGAAGAAGAGCAGTGAGAATCAAGCAAAGGAGGATGTTGTCAATGGAGCAGTGGATGAAGGGGAGGACACGGAGGAGGATGCTCTCCCTGGGATCCTGAACGACACCATGCGCTTTGGGATGTTCCTCCAGGACCTTATTTTCATGGTGAGCGACAGTGGAGCAGTGGCCTATGACCCCAATGCCAACGAGTGCTATTTTGCCTCCCTGTCTACTCAAATCCCAAAGAACCACGTCAGTCTGGTGACCAAAGAGAATCAGATCTTCATCGTCGGAGGACTGTACTACAACGAGGACAACAAAGAGGATCCCATGAGCTCCTACTTCCTACAGGTACTACCTTTGTCTTTTGTTTCTTTGACCACTTGGGAACATCACCAAGCTTTAACTCCCATAATATTTGTTGTCATGTGATGTTAAAGTTGTAAGTGAAGGAGAATGATCTGGGTTGCTTTACTGAAGATTCTTCTCCCTTTATTTTTAAGGATGATGCCATTGAGGGGTGGTTGTGGTAGTTGAGGAAGAAGGTTTGAAGGAGTAGGAAATAGGAATGAGCCTTCCTGATCCAAATCCTGAGGAGAGGATTGTTTAGGACAATGAATTTGGCCCAGCCCTGGCTGCCACAGGGTTCACAAACTGGGAGGTTTGTGGCATCAGACCGTGCATCCCCTGCCTTCCCTGGTTATGAACCCCAGGAAAACCCAAGGGTGACGCTGCCAGGTGCTGGGCCAAATTCACTGTCCTAAGGAGCAGCAGCAGCTGCAGCCACAGAGCAAACACCCCAAGGACACAGGGCATGTCCCTGCCTCCCAACGTGCCCCATTCCCAGTGCTGTCCTGGCCCTGGAGATGGGCTTGGTCCAGCTCAGAGTCTCTGCCTCAGCCATTTCCATCCTGAGAGGGGGAAACCACCTCGAGCTGTCTTTGGGGATACCCCTCAGGGAAAGTGGCTGCTCTAACTCAGCAGTGACCCAACTGTGACTGGATTGAGCTGTGCAGGCAATCTGAGCCCCAGCCTGGGCTGCAGCCCAGATTTCTTTCCCTGTAGACAGCTAACACAAGGCTCCTGCCCTTCCTCCTGACCCCAAGGAATCCAGTAAATCCTCTATTCTTCCTCCCATACCCAGAAATCTTTTTTTTGTTCCTCTCCATGGCTCAAATCTTCTGGGAAGAAACAATAACGTGTCTCAGGCTCGCATCTTCTGGGAAAAACAATAACATCTCCAGGCAGAAAGGATAAAAGGAGGGTGGTTGCCAAGCTGAGACACAGAGCCCTGATCCCAGCCTTGACTCATTGCCCTCATCAGTGGGGCTGCACATCACGCAGGGACCAGGCTTGTCCTCACCTGGAAAGGGGCAGGGGGTGAAGCCCAGGGAATGAGAAGCCAGGAGGAAGAAACCCCAGCCCTATAGAGCAGGAGGGAGTGGGAAAGCTGAGGAAGTGCTGGGGGTGCCCCGTTTGAGATACAGCACTGGACAGTCCATGATGACCGAGGTGTGGGCAGCCCCATCAGGTACCTGTGAAGAGCAGGGCAATGCATTCAGCCAAAGCTGTGCCTAAGGATCAATCTTCCCAGCAGAGGAGGAGCAGGGTCCAGAGACCTCACAGAACCTCCACAGAATCATAGAATGGCCTGGCAGGCCATCCTATGGAATCCTGAGAGGGACCTTGAAGATCTCATAGTTCCAAACCCCTGCCATAAGCAGGGACACCTCCCACCAGACCAGGCTGCTCAGAGCTCCATCCAACTTGGCCTTGAACACTTCCAGGGGTGGGGCAGCATCCTTGGAAATATTTAATATTTGGCTGCACAAAGCCCTGGGAAACTGCTCTAACTCCAAACCTGTGCCCCTTTGAACATGTGGATTGCATGAAAAACCTTTGGTGGTCCTTCCCCTCGAAGTACTGTGTGGTTCTGAGCTGCAAACAAAGCAAGATTTCTCTGTTCAGCTCCCAGTTTGCCACTAATTCAGTGGCAAATGTCCTGAGCATCGTGGGGCCAGTTTCAGCTCTTCCCCACAAGAAGGGTCTCTTCACACATCACCATGTCATTTGTGCTTGGGAGAACCAGACAAACCCTGGGACTGGAGAGTGCCATCAGTTTGCAAATGTTTAATTTATTACATCAGTGTCATTCTGTAGCTCGAAGTTGCTGTATGAGCAAGAGAGGTTTGGAGCCCTTTTTTTCAGCTCAAATGACACATTTAGACATGCAGCTCTATGACAAGCCACTGTGCCACAGCTCCCTACACCTTCTGACTCTTTCTATCCCCCCAAATTTCACATTCTCCCTGCTGGAGCTGGGTGCATTAGGTCAGGGATAATTTAGATTTAAGGACAGGCACCAAAATATAAAAATGCTGATAAATCCCAGGAGCTTTGCAGATTTTGGCAGGAGCAAAATGATTCCATTGACATTTCAGATGGGAAAGGGTATCCTTTCTTTGTCACTTGCAAGATTTATGACTCGAAAACAATGCTGAACCCATCAAGAAGCAGGAACCACCCCGATGACTGAGCTGCTCAGGGTTGCACTATAAATAACACATGTGTGGACCACAGCTTACAAAGAGACAAAAACCACAGGCACCCAGCTGAGGGTGAGTCTTTGGAGCCAACCCATCAGGCTGGAGCTCCTTGGCCTGAGCCCATGGCAAACAATGCTCCAGGCAGTGCTGCGTCACAGCTTCATCCTGCAGCCCCACAAAACTGGCTGCAAGACATCCCTCCCTCCTCTATCAAGATATAATAATTTTTTTTTTCCCAATTCCCATTAAGGCACAGTGCTCAGAGTCTCTAGTCTAAGATTTTTTTTTTTTAATTTTTTTTGGGTGGGAGACAAGGCATTGCTTTGATCTACAGATGCCCAAGGATTTGGTGATCTGATCCAGCAGCTTGCTCTGGCACACTTTATCTGTGTAGCCAACATTGCTGGCAGCACCCTGTTACCTGGCAGAGATGGAAAATGCCAGGATGAAATACTGTGAGGTGTTTTCTATGCTTGAAAAGGCTCAGGAGAATTTCTAGGATTGAAATGCTTCCATTCCTCCAGTCCCAGGAACAATCCATTGCAAGTGCACCAAGAAGCCTTTCACCCAAAGATGACCAGGCTTGTTCCAAGTTCCGAGTTGGAAAAGGAGACTCAGGAGAGAGTTTATTATTCCACAACTCCCTAAAAGGAGGCTGGAGCAGGTGGAGTTGGCCCCTTCTCCCAGGCAAACAGTGACAGGGTGAGAGGACAAGGCCTCAGGCTGCACCAAGGGAGGGTCAGGTTGGACATCATGGAGAATTTTTGTACTGAAAAGGTGGTCAGGCATTGAGATGAGCTGCCCAGGGAAGTGGTGGAGTCACCATCCCCAGAGGTGTTCAAGAAATGGCCTGATGTGGCACTCCGTGCCATGGGATGGACAAGGAGGTGATTGGTCAAAGGTTGGACCCAATGATCTCAGAGGCATTTTCCAACTTTAACATAATTCTGTAAGGACCTGGATTTGATGAATAGAGCAGAAAATGTTGCTGCAGACCCATCTCTGCTCTTATGCCTTGTCATAAAAGGTTTATCGTACAAATTGTGACTTGGGTTTGCTCTCAGATCTCCCATCCTGCTCCAGCTGACAAAGGCACAGCCACAGGAGCATTGCAGGGAGCGCTGCTGGGGTGACCAAGCTGCACATGGGAACACACTTTGTCCTCCACCTCTGGACCCTGATTTTTGCTAATCAAATGGACACACACTAATGATCATTTGTTCCTTTCCAGTACGACCACCTGGATGCAGACTGGCTGGGGATGCCCCCCCTGCCCTCTCCTCGCTGCCTTTTTGGTCTGGGGGAGGCAGAAAACTCAATTTTTGTGGTTGGAGGGAAGGAACTGAAGGAGGGAGAGAAGACCTTGGATTCAGTGCTGTGCTACGACCGCCTGTGAGTGTTCCTTGGAGGAGAAATGGAGCAGCTGCCATGGGTCAAAAGGCTTGGGAGAAGGGCTTGAACTCTGTATGAGGATGCTGGGACTGTCCTTGAGCTGTGCCCTGGGGCTCTGAGCTGTCTCCTTCCAGCTGCTCCCTTTATTGAGCCTCCTGGAGAGGGAAGCTTTTATGGGGATATTTTGTTATTTGGGATTGACATTAGTAGATGTTCACGTGAGACATGTACAGAGGTGGTTTTTTTCTTCTGCTAAATCTCCTGCTCTTGCCCATTGATTAAAGGATCAGTGGCATTCACTGTGGTCTCACCAAAAGAGGTTTGAACAGAAAAGCTTGTTTTTAAATTTTTCAGATGTGTCACAGAATGGCTTATCCTGATTGATATCAGGCTTAATATCCAATTATTTTTGGACAATGGGCTCTGACCCATGCTAGCTCATGGGCTTTATTAAAAGGCACCATCCTGTTCTTCTCTCAGGAGACAGAAACTTCCAAAGCTGCTGCTCTCTGCCCCAAAGAGACAGAGCAGCAGGCACCAAGAAGCCTTTTCTTGGTCTATATTTAGATGTGTGTGCTTCCAAGTCTGTTCTATAGGCAGAGATTTGAAACCAGTTCCATTCCCACAGAGCAGGGCATTTATCTGCCCCTGCAGACTCTGGGAAAGAATTTGTCTGCCCCCACTAAGTGTTTGGGGGTGGTTTGAGTGTCAGTTTGGAGCTGGTAGAGATGTGATCAGCACCATTCTATCTCTGCTTTTATTTGGTTATTATTCTGATTGAACATGGCTGAACACGAGCCAGCCATGTGCCCAGGTGGCCAAGAGGGACAGTGGATTGTACCCATCCATCCATCCTGGATGGACCAGCAGGACCAGGGAAAAGTTTATTCCTTTGTGCTGGGCACTGCGAGGCTGCGCCTCAAATCCTGCATCCAGTTTTGGGCCTCTCATGACAAGAAGGACATTGAGGGGCTGGTGTGAGCCCCGAGAAGGGAACAGAGCTGAGGAAGGGTCTGGAGCACCAGGAGCAGCTGAAAGAACTTGGGGGGCTCAGCTTGGAGAAAAAGGGGTTCAAGGGGTCATTATTGCTCCCTATTCCTACCTGAAGACCTCAAGAAAACAATGGATATTAGCATAAATAATCTGTTCATTTTATTATTTTACTGTCATCCTTTTAAAGGATAATTATTATTATTTTTAGGGTCATTATTATTATTTTTAGGATCATTAGACATTTATTGTCTGAGCCTGTCTCCCATTACAGACCTTGTGATTCTGAGACTGAGTCCAACCCTGTGCTCACCTCTAGGCCTGGGAAATGTCATGTCCTCTAGGTGTCATCCAGCAAGCTACAAATCCTTTTGCTTCCCATCTTTTTCTGACCCATCTTTTTCTTTCCCATCTTTTCCAGGTCCTTCAAGTGGGGTGAGGCTGATCCCCTTCCCTACTCAGTCTATGGCCACGCAGTGGTATCACACAAGGACCTTGTCTACGTCATTGGGGGCAAAGGAAGTGACAAGTAAGTCAAAAAGAAAGGGAAAATCGAGGAGGGAATCCCTCACACCAGTGGGAATGCAGTGTTGGTACCTCCTCAGCCTGCTTTAAGGAGGGCTGGATGGGATGGGAGATGTGGATCCTCCCCTCTCTGCTCACCTCTGTGCCTGCAGCCCTTTCCAAAACCTTAGGAGGCCAACAGGGACATCAGGAAGATGGCAGTGTCCTTTCAGGAGAGAGAATGTATTGTGCCATCCCTGGAAGCAGGCTGGAGGGGGCTTTGAGGGAAACTGGTGCAGTGGAAGGTGGCCCTGCCCATGGAGATTGGAATGAGATGTTCTTTAAAGATCCTTCCCAATCAAACCACAAAAAAAACCCAAATGTCACTCAGATTGGGAGAGGCAGTGAAGAGCAAGAAGCCCCTTCACTTTTAGGGTGTCCTGTCGTGGGCTTGTGGAGCAGAGTGGAGCAGAGTGGTCACCATAGCCAAATCCAGACATGTATTTGCAACAGGAGGGAAAAACCTGATCCACCCTGACCCCATCCCACCCTCCTGCAGGAGATGAGCTCAGCAGGAAAAGCCTCTCTCAGGAGCATCACAGTGGCTGCCTTGCAGGGCACAAATGTGGCTGTTTGCAGAGCAAACATTCCACAATCCAGCAAGGATTGGTCCTGCTTGGGAAGGGCTATGGTCTGAAAGATGTGAACATCCTCACACTGCCCACCTGGCCACAGGAGCATCACTGAGGATATTTGGCAGCATCACGGTGGATCAGGAGCAATAAATCAAAGCCTTGAAGGCTGAGAGGTCCTAAGGGGCTGCCTGGACCTGTATCCAGGTGTGTGAGCACCAAGCTGAGCTCTCAGGAGTTCTGTCCAAGGGTACAGCAGGAGGGGATGTGTTACACACACAGGTGGTGACTCCAGGCAGGGACATCCTTGGGTGCACACCCAACAAAGTCAATGTGAAGGAGCAAAATCCTCCCTAGGCACCCCACCTTCTTCCCAGCAGACACCCCCAAACCCCTCCAAGAGCAAAACCACCCCTTGGAAAGCCATCAAGGCTCCTTTTCCCTCTCCTTTTTCTCCAGGAAGTGCCTGAAGAAGATGTGTGTCTACAACCCAGCCAAGTTTGAGTGGAAGGAAATGGCTCCCATGAAAACTGCCCGCTCCCTGTTCGGGGCCACCGTGCACAAGGACAAAATCTACGTGGCAGCTGGTGTCACCGACTCTGGTTTGACCAACTCCGTGGAGGTCTATGACATTGCCACCAACAAGTATGTCCTGAGTTGTGGTTACACCAGGAGTAGGTGCAGGTGTAGGCTCAGCAAATTCCAGCCATCCTGGAGTTTGTTTGTGGCTCCTGATGTCAGTTCCTCCAGTTTATATGCCCATGGGAGGGGAGCTGGAGCTGGATAATCTTTAAGGTCTCTTCCAACCCAAGCCATTCAAGGGTTCTATGGTTCCTCAGAGAGCTGGGCATCACCAAAGCCGCTGTGGTTGGGCTGGGGATCATCTCAGGCTCGTCCTCAAAGTGGTTTCACCCACTGTGCCATCCTTGGGTTCGCTGGGGCTTCACCCAACACAATAGACCCTCAGAATTTGGGTGGCTCTTGCAGCTGCTGCCCCAGCACTGGGACAAACTGGCCCATGCACCCAAAGCAAAACAAACTTGAACGATGATGATGGGAACAGTTTCCCTGAAAGCAGCCAGGGTATGGTCCCATAACCACCTTGACCTGCACAACTGGATCTGTCCTAGTGAGCTCAGCTGTTGAATCCTGATTTGAGGCCATCCTCAGCATGGGGGTGGCCAGGATGCTCCAACTTTGAGGAACATTTGAAGGACCTGGGGCTGTTTAGCCTGGAGAAGAGGGGGCTCAGAGGTGCCCTTATTGCTCTCTACAACTCCTGCAGGGAGGCTGCAGACAGGTGGGGTTGGTCTCTGACAGAACCAGAGGACGCAGCCTCCAGCTATGTCAGGGAAGGTACAGGTTGGATATTAGGAAAAAAAATTGCACCTAAAGAATAATAAAGTACTGGAATGGTCTTCCCAGGGAGGTGGTAGAATCACCATGTCTGGATGTGTTTAACAAAAGACTGGCCATGGCACTGGGTGCTATAGTCTGGCTGAGGTGTTGGGGCATGGGTTGGGCTCGATGATCTTAGAGGTCTCTTCCAACCTCATTATTCTGTGATTCTGTGATTCTGAACTTGTCCCCTCTCTCACGTGGCAGGTGGGACACCTTCCCTGAGTTCCCCCAGGAGCGCAGCTCTGCCAGCCTGGTCAGCCTCTCTGGGGTGCTCTACCTGCTCGGGGGCTTCGCCACGGTGGAGACCGAGTCGGGAGAGCTGGTGCCAACAGAGCTCAACGACGTTTGGAGGTGACAAACCTTCCCCAGGGCTGTCCCAGGGAGCATGGGAGGGATGTTAGTAATGAAATAGATCATTTCTGTCTGGTTTTATGCTGTCAGTGTGAGATGGACGTTGTCACCCCAGCACCAGGCTGCAGGCTCAGCACTCGGTGTCTGGGAATTTTGCCCTGTGCTGTGCTGGAGGGCACATTGGTGCTTCAGTGATCTCTCCAGCCTCACGTAGCAACAGACCAGGGAAAACTTGCTCCTTTGGCTTTGTTGTGTGTTGACATTTTGCCTGGAGCTGGTTCCAGACTCTCCTTTGGTGTGGAGCAGCATCTGTGCAGTGTTCCTCTCACTGGGAGCAGCCAGTGCTTGGGCTGGGAAGAAGAGAGTCTGGGTCAGGAAGCAGAGTTTGGGCTGGTAAGCAGAGTCTGGGTCAGGAAGCAGAGAGTCTGGGCTGGGAAGCAGAGTCTGGGCTGGGAAGCAGAGTCTGGGCTGGGTAGCAGATAGTCTGGGTTAGGAGGCAGAATCTGGGCTGGGAAGCAGATAGTCTTACATGCAAGAGGAGTGGGCAGAAAGCACTTAGTGACAGCTGCTAGTGCAGCATTGGCTGCTCCTGTCCCTCAATTCAGTGCTCTGGCACCCTCAGCAGGATCCTGCTGTCCTTCACCATGGATGTTCCACCTTGGTGCCATCAACCCAACTCCCAGAAGAAAAATATCCCCTCCCCTGCAAGACCACGTGCTGATATCCACGTCCCCCAGAGCAGAGCACACCAGGGCTGCAATTCACACCAGTTCTTGTGGCCAAATAACTCCTGTGGGCTGCCACCCCTATGGAGAGCAGCTGGAGGGAGGGAGAGGAGCCCTTTCCTCAGCATTGTCTGCCTGTCTCTCCCCAGGTATGACGAGGAGCAGAAGAAGTGGGAAGGGGTTCTCCGGGAGATCCAGTACGCCTCCGGTGCCACGTTCCTGCCCGTGCGCCTCAACGTCCTGCGCCTCACCAAGATGTAGTCAGGAGAGATTGCTCCTCTTTCCAGGGGCTGCTGGAGCAAGGAGGGGTGGGGAGATGCTTCTCAGAGATGGGGCATCTAAACACTGCCCAGGACATTGCATCTGTGATTGGTAATTTTTTGGATAAGTGGGAAAGAGGGGAGAGTATCTGGAAAACCTCCCGGGAAATTGAAGGGATTCACAAGGTAATTAAAGAGGGGATTTGGAGTCTGTAAGGAGCTGGGGAAGGCTGAGAAGCACAGAAAAATTAGTTATTCCAGTCTCAGGAGACAGGACAAATAGATGATACATTTTTTAGCTTATTTCTTCATGTTTTTTCCCATCTTTTCAACTGCTGTTGGACCCCTCCAACAAACAGGGGATGCAGGAAGTGAGGACTAAGATGACATTCCCCAGGGAAAGGCATCCACAGAGTATTTTCCAGCCTAGGGTGTCTGTGAGCACAGTGTTCCTTGGAGAGGAGAAGGAAGGGTTAAAGTCAAGTGGCACAGGAGAGACCTGGTAGAATTTGATGAGTTCCTGAGTGAAGAGGGTTGTTGGGATAAGACAGGCAGAAGAAAAGATCATGTGAGCAGCAGAAGCACCTTGGAAGATGAGATGAAAAGCAAATAATCTCAGTTCTTTGCCTCCAGCTTGACTGTGGAGTTTTGAGAGGCTGGGAGTTAAGTGTCAGAAAAGGAGGAGTCATGGAAGTTGTAGGGTAGGAAGGGGGAGAGATGGACAGAGGATGCCATGTGTGGCCACCTCCAGCCTTTTGGGCCCCTCATCTTCAATCACAGATCACAATGTCCTCACCTATGGATGGACAAATGCTGGTTTTTAGGGAAAGGTTTTATATTTTTGCTGTTTTTCTTATTTTTCATGTTCAGATTTTTTTTTTAAGAGTATTTTACTTTGCTAAGATCTCAGATGTGTTTGGCTCAAAGGGAGCTTCTGACTGAGGAAAAATGCATATTTATTTTAAAGTTGTCAATAATGAAGTTTTGATAGAGACACAACTGTACTGGCAGCAGGAAAAAAGATCTGTTAGAGCAAAAATCTCCTGATTTTGCCCACACCATCTGACCAGTGGTTTATTCAAAAATAAATGTGACTATTCCAAAAGAAACCCCTGTGTCTGCACATTGATAAAGCTGAAACTGATCCTTCACAGCAACCAAAGACAAGGACTGAGCACAAGTTGTGATGGACACATGCAGCAAAACAGCCCCATGGAGAGCCTCATCTTTTTCTGGTTATTTTCCCTCATTTGAGAGCTGAAATTTTAGTATCCATATCCTTACAGCTCTTCCCTATGGGTGTCACAACCAGGAGTTTACCCAGGACTAGAAGGAAGCTGGATGCCTACGCTGACAGGGTGAGAAGAAATGGCCTCAAACTGTGCCAGGGGAGGTTTAGATTGGATGTTAGGATGAGTTTTTTCATGGAAAGGATTATAAAGCACTAGAAAAGGCAGTGGAGTTCCAGTGATGCAGTCACCATCCCTGGAAGTGTTCAAAAAAAGGTGGATATGGCATTTAGGAACGTGGTTTAGTGGTGAACAAGGTGGTGGTGCTGGGCTGGTGTCTGGACTCAATGAGATTAAAAGTCTTTTCCTACCTTTCAATTCTATGAATTGAATTCTTCCAACAATTCTATGATTCTTCCAACAATTCTATGATTCTGTGATGTCACAGTACTATTAACAGGGTTGATAATCAATAATAATTCAAAAAAAGAACAAAAACAAACCTTGCAAAACAATTGCCTCAAAGTGGTATGAAAATTCTGGTATCACAAATCTAGGTCAAAATGCAGTTGTGGAGAAACTGAAATATGTTTGGAAGAAAAAAGAATTCAAGAGAAGTAAAGGAACCGGAGTCTTGTCCTGGTTTCATTTGAAGGATTTAGGAAGTTACAGGATAAGCTCCTTAGAGGACAATCACATCAGAACAGTAATGAAATATTTCAAAAGAAAAAGAAATCCAAGGTGACTGGCTGTCACAAAGTAGCTTAAAAAAAAAAAAAAAAGGAACAAAAATCTTTGAAACAATCAAATGTGTGAAAAAGGCACGAAAAAGAAATAAACACCTTCTGCCTAGTTCTGCAGAAATTCATGTAGACAATTCCCAAGCTAATTAAAGATGACTCTTCCAAATAGCTTCTGGCAGAAAAAAAGAGAAAAATTCAGGGAAAAAAGATGATTAAAAAAATAATCCCTGCATAGAATAACCATTAAAAAAGTCACTTATTACAGTGTCAGGATCCCACCTCCTGCCTCCAGCAACAGCATCCCTGGAATTGTTCAAGGAATGAGTGGAAGTTGCACTCAGTGCTCTGGTCTGGCTGACTCAGTGATCTTGAAGGTTATTTTCCAGCCTTAATGATTTTGTGATTCTGTGACCTTTGCTTCAGCTCTTCTTGCTGAATGCAGGCTGGGAAGTTGTTGATGATCCTAATAGAGGTTTGATCCCCACTCACTTCCTGCCACACTTCTTGGCTCTCCTGGAGGAATTCTGGGCTTTTTGAAGCCAGCAGGAGAACGTTGCTGACTTTCCATGAGCTGTTGTGATGTAGTCCCTGATAAAGGCTCAAGATGCTTCAAATAAACTGGAGTTTGGTGCTCATGTGTGGTTCACATCCATTATAAAGCTGCGGAGAAGCCACCACTGGCACAGGGCAGGAAACTATAAAATAGAAAAAAATGGCTGTTGTATAAAAATATCCAGAAGAACTTGAAATATCCCACTGCTGGAACAACAAGAGGCAAATCTCAGCACATGCTGGTCCGAGGAAGGAGGCAGAGTTGGACATCACCAAGTGAAGGTGTGGCCTGGAGATGTTCTTTCATATCTCCAAGAGGCTGGGTCAGTTTAAAGGCCATCACAGATAAGAAATGCCACCAGGAATGCTCAGAGAGACATCACTCTTCCCTGCTGCCTGGTGTTTTCCTGGCTCAGATGCAACAGCTTCAGTGGCACAGGTCCCCCTACAGATAATGACAGTGGCAAAGACTGCATCCAAAGGGTGAGGGAAAACCATCTCTTCTTCCCCAGTCTTCCCAATATCCATGCTGATATTACTGGTGAGGTTCCCCCTGCTCCATTTTAAATTAATAAAGGCACTGGGTGCTTTTGGATGTGCTCCTTGGTTTCTCTTCTGCCAACAGAGATCAGAGAGCCCCTGCTCAAGAGTTCACACCGACCTGATGGAGCCAGTAGGATCAAGTGCTCAGACCTTACCCCAGGGCTGTAAGCACTGAATTCCTTCTTCTATCCACTCATCACCCTTCCCTGAAAAGCTCTTTTTTTGTTGGCCCCACAACAGTCTCACACACATTCACACATCTCCCACCAAACCCAGCACAGAGCCTGCACATGTGAAGCAGTGGCAGCAAATTCCTCATCCTCCCCATCTCTGACTGCTCACATAGTTGCCTGAAAAAAACCCTTTTAAAAGAAAAGAAAAAAAAAAAAGGGGGGGGGGGGGAAAGATAAAGCAAAATTAAGGTAACAAAAGAAAGTGGTGGAGCTTTTGGTTTTCTTTTATAAAAGACAAATCGTTTATTGATTCAGTCCTTCCACTTGCAACCTCTTTGGTAACAGTCATAACACTTCCAGACTGGGAGAACGCAGTGGAAAGGCCCAGTTCTGACCTCTCACCAATTTCAGAGCTCAGTGAGCCCCAACGTGCCTTGGTGAGAGGCCAAAAGCAGATTTCAAAGCATGGCCAAGGACCTGGCCTCGAGGGACAACCCAAACCAGCCTCCCTACTGTGACTTGTTGCGCTGGTGGGCAGCACAGAGAGCAGCCCCAGCACCCCCAGGCAGAAGATGGCTTGGGATGGGGATGTCTGACTGGGAGCTGTGCCCTGGGAGGTGGCCTTGATGAACCTCTTGGGACCTCCTGGACATTGGCCAATGGGACCATCAACGAAACAAGACTCGCCCGTTCCTGCGGTAGACAATGACTTGCCTCAGTTGGCCCCACGGGGATGGACTAATCCAACCATCTCAGCCTCCCCCTCCTCACACCATCCCAAAGAGAGTAACTGCTGTACTTGGAGTTAAAGATAAACATATATTGATTACACATGGTCATAAAAAAAAAAAAGGTAATAATAATAATAATACATTTCCTAGAACATTACTTAAGACGCTTCCGAAAAGCATCCAAGCTTCCCCTCCCCTCCCCGCCTTCCCTTAATCTATACAGAATAAAGTGCTTCGTTTAGTTTGTTCACACTTGTAGAGCCACCAATACACTCTTAACTTGGCATGTTTGGGCAACTGATACTGAATGCCGTAAAATAATTCAGAGCCAAACACCAGGCATGAGAAACTAGTTTTGAGGCAAGTGCTTGGGGGTTTCATTCATTTCCTTCAAGTTCCATGCTACAGCGGTTGTTCTTATTCCTTTTTTTTTCTCCTTTTTTTTTTTTTTAATTTATTATTTTCTTCCTTTGTAAGTCCAACCCAACTCCCGTCGTGGTTCCGTGTCTCTAGGCAGGGCTGCGCGTGGGGAAGCTCTGGCCGTCCGTGTGAACAAAGGGCGTCTGTCCGTCTGTCCTTCCCTCCTGACTTCAGGCAAACCAAGAGTCACCTCAGAGGAGTTGTCTAGCAGCGGATGCTCGTCTCTATTGCACTGTCACAGCCATTCCCACCCATCTGTCCATCCATCCATCGCCTTCCCACCGCGCCAGGGTTATGGCTGTGGTCCGAAGGGCCAGCCGTGCCTCATAGATACGTGAGGCGAACTGGTCTGTGCTACCAGGCTCCTGGGATTATATAAACCAAAAGTGACCCTCCCCAGCATGATTCCCTCCCTCCCCAAAGTTCAAATGAAGGGTGGAAAAAAAAATAATTCCGACCCAGGCGGGTCTGGGGTTTGGGTGTGTGGGAAGAGCTGTCAGCTGAACATTGCGCTACGGCGAATTCAGGAACCGCGTAATGGAAATCGAGCCCCTCTCCACCCTCGCGGTCTGTCAAAGAAGGGATGTGAGAGATTAAGGTGCAAGAGTTA